GCAGTGGCAGGTGGCATGAAACCAGCAATGCTTTCTAGTACTCTTCATGCTGAAGGTGGTCTATGGACTCCCTTTGTAGATATCAAAGCTTTTCCTGATAAAAGGTGAAACTTCACAGAATTAGTGTCTCAGACACTTACTCTGCCAAACTTCAGACCCACATTCGTCAGAAAGCCCTTCCTGCGCGGTGTCAGAAATGATGGTCCCAGGGAAGTGCGGCACTATACATATGTTTGTTCAAACAATGTAAAATAGAAGTGAAAGGTTAGTTCTTAAATACACTTCATTCAAAATCATAACTTTACTAGAAAGATATAAAAGGATAATAGCATGTAACTAGAAAGCCTTCTTGAAAGCATACCTATGAAAAGGCAATTATATCACATAATAGGTCCATACACTTGTAAAATCTGGCTCTTGCTACAAAAGCAAACAGGGATGAACATTGGCAGCTCAGATTTTGGATGGTTCCATCCCCATTTGGTGCCACCACTGACTCTGGATTGAGGCGAATGGAACTAAAGACAAGAGCAGGGAGTCAAGCCGTCAGTCTAGTGACGGTGATGGAGATAAGAACAGGATCCAATCAAGAACCAAGTCTCTACCTTTTCTCCTGCTCTTGCAGCACTACAGGGAGCTTCTGTCCAGAACCCAGGGATTCACTTCAGTCTGGGTCTACCATTTGCCTGGGTAAAAAGAAAAAAGAGTACCACAGGCTGGTGGACATGCCATGCCCTGCTCCTAAGAACTTTCATGTCACATGGCTTTTTAATGATAAGGAAGACAACACCTGCCCTCAAACAGGAATGCCACTTGGCAGACAAAAGCACACAGTAAAATGCCAGAGCAGACACTGGAAGACCTTTGAGCTGCTTAGACCAAGAGGACCTACCGCTCAGACAGTTTTGGAATCTCCACCTTCTGTGGAAACAGAATCATTTTATAAAATGCTTTTTAAATTTTGGGGACAACCATTAAAGTGATTCAATGTTACTCTGAAGGGTGTCCTGTACTCACTTACCCTACAAGACTATTTTAAAAGAATCCACGAAAAATCATTGCTTTAGGAATGGTCTGGTCTTTGGCTAAAGAGAGATCATGTGTTGCTTAAATAAAGACCTGCAGAAAAATCTGTTAATTCAGAATACATGCCTGAAACAGTGAAGAGAAATTCTATGAAAGTAGTAAATGTTCTTCCCTGTGTTTAGTCAATTTTAATTACCAACTGTCTTGCATATTTTTCAACTGTTTCCTTCCAAAGGCTAAAACGGTCTTGTATTTTACAGACAGTATTTTAGCGCTGTTGCCTGTCACACACAAGCAATTATTTAAAAGCTGCAATGTTTAAATTAAAATAAAATGTATGCTTACAGTAGTAAATATTCCTGGATTAATAGAGTTGCCACAGATAGACTCCCAAAATTGACTGAAGTCTGTGATATTAGAAAGACAGAAAATTTATCTAGTTTTAGCAAATGTCAAATCAGCAGCTATTGCTTTTAAGATTAATAAAAGATATAATGGTTTCCAGATAGCCTCTAAATAGAGATCACTATGAATGGAGAAGTGATTTACCAACAGTCACCACAATGAGATTTCTTTAAAGGTTACAATCATCAGTTATTTAGCTGAAACACTGCCAAGAATGGCTGGTCATTTCCTGAATAATGCATTATATTCATTGTATATTTGATCTGTATTATAACAATACAGATATTTCTAAAATAATGGAAAAAATTATCTGTTACCTTCCGATGGCTTAACATATCATTTCCATGAAGTAATTGACTCAGGACATATTACATGCTGTCACCCCAGTGTTCTTTCTGCAAGCACACCTTGTAAATAATCTATACACAATGGGCATCACAAAACAAACTCATCAACCTTTATAGACTTTTAAGAAAAAAAATGTGATTAAACACAGGGCAGAGTAAAGGACTTTTTCTGAGGCAGTAAATTAAAATGATTAAATTTCTATATAGTTATAGGAGACAAATTTAAACTTAAGCTTTGAAGTGTAATTATTAAGGTGAACAACTCATCACATTTTTTAAAATATTGCCTACAATGTATAAGTACTTTTCATATAAATTTCCAAATGCCTTTAGGTTTATTCAAGAGAGGACTTGGGGAAGCACAAAGCACAATGTCTATCACCTTATTGTTGGATTATGAACTGTGCTTCGCATGAAGCTACAGGCTATTTATATAAGCTTGTTTATCCACATGAACTTCTTCAAGGGCACAACGTAGAAGACCTTAATAAATTAAAACAAATTTCCTGGGTATTGTTGTTTCATGAATGTTTGATCAGTATGAGTAGCAGGTTTGCATTAAAGAACCAGAGTGAAGCAATAAAATATACATACACTGTGCAGCAGAGTTAGTTCACAGGAAGTGCCCATTGTATTCCTAGCAACTTTCAAGAATCAGGATAAACAGAATAGAGTCACTTTGCTCTCAGCTTCAGTTTTAGCCTGTACTCAGGTTACTAATAGTGGGAGCAAACATGTAGAAACGGAAATCTCCTTCCAGGCTCCTAAACATTCATCCGAGCTCCTTGTTTTTCTCACTGACATCACCATGGCCTTCCACAGACTGAAACCCATGAGAGCAGAGACCATAGTTTCTTCTTTCCACCTTTACCATGATGAGTAGTGATGGAGTTGAGTTGACCAGAAGCCACAAAGTAGAAATGAATTATCAGTCACACTCCAAAACTGAGAGAAGTCTCACCTGGAATGTTTGATGACGGTGATACAAATCAAGTATCATCTTTAGCAATGACTATGATATGATAGAGCACTAGTGCTCACTTCGGCAGCACATATACTAAAATTGGAACAATACAGAGAAGATTAGCATGGCGCCTGCGCAAGGCTGACATGCAAATTCGAGAAGGAGCCCTAGACAGAGGGCAAAAGCAAACAAAGAAAATCAAAACAAACAAACAAACAAACAAACAGGATTCCAGTGTTAGGTCTACGGGCACTTAACTGTACACTCTTTCTACATCATTTCCCTCACCTGTAAAACAAAGGCCTGGTTCTATATGATCTATAATTCTGTATTTCTAAAAGGCCATGATTCTAAGAGTAAAAGAAGAATGGACAGACAAGGGAACCATTAGATTTTTCTACTTTAGTAGCCACTACTACCAAGAAAAGCCTATAAAATGCAAACTCATTCAAAGAAAAATGAAAATAAAAGATGATCATCCTAAACAACATAATACAAGTCCAGTCTGTCCCTCAAGCAATATATTTAAAATTTAATAACATTTTGCACATTGTGTGATTTATAACCTTTTGCACTTATCGTTCCCTTCCATCTTGCAAGATTTGGAATAAATATGAAGATGGCCTATTGAATAAGCTCTTATGTGTATAATAAATATTTACTAGGATTATATTCACATCTTTAGCCTGGGAAAATTCCCTACTATACCAGCCTCTGGGACAAGGACTAGTGAATGACCAAGTTGACATCTACACTCTTAAGGGTGGACAGGCTATAAAAGGATAGCAGAAATATGCCTTGTTTTGCTTGTGCCCTGCTGCCTTAAACTCACATCTTGCCCTTAAAAGCTGCCTGACTGTGAGTTCTTCTCAACCTGAGAATGTCAGTCTTATACTCTAGAGCCAGAGTCTTGAGGGCCAAATCCAGTGGCAGCTGCCTGCTTTGTAAGCACGGTTTTATTAGGACTCATCCACACCCTGTTCAACATATTGTCTATGGCTGATTTCTCACTACAATGGCAGAATTGAATTAGCCCCAAAGTCTAAAATATTTACTATATGGCCCTTTACAGAGAATGTTTGCCAACCCCTGCTCTAGAGGAAAATAACTTCTTGCAATTTAAATTCTAATTTTCTTTCTCTCGTAAGCATAAAAAACACAAACCCTAAGTAGCAATAGGCAAGATACGAACTTGTTGACACACGCACATACTCATACGTGATCACACCTCTGGGCACAGATCTTAAACAGTAACTGCTTTTGACTTCTCATTTTAATTTGAATCCTGTAAGGTTTACAGCTCCCCACTAGTACCCTTTCCTGGAACAGCCAAAAATATGGGCCCTTCTCCAAAGGCAGCTGTCAAGGTAAAAATCACATAACTGAAAAACTTAGCTCCTCCCAGAGCAGACGTTGCCTGAAATTCTGCCGAATGTCCAGTCCTGTTCTACACTCATCAAGGGTCTAGATACAAGGGTAGGGCAAAGGACACCAGCAGACACCTAAAGTCCTATGCTTTGAATAACACACCCTTCAAGTTAAGAAATCAATGATCAATATCACATATTCATTGTTAAACATATGCATTTATATTAAAATGCTAGAAGTGCCATAAATTATTAGGAGTTATAGGAATAATGCAGGGAAATACCTCCCTTAATTATCAGAGTGAAAAAGGCCTAAAATTTTAAAATAACTTGAGGCTAACTGCACCATGGGTATGGAGGACATATACATGCTTATACTTACAGCTTCTAGGCCATATGTATAGATATTTGGAACATTAATACATAGATCAATTTTTTTATCAGTCAATAAAATCACTGCTCAAAATGCCTGCTACAACTGGACTCTGTTTCCTTCCTTTCTTTGGTTACTAAAGACTGAAAATATTATTTCTACCCTTTAGCAAATATTCTCATACTCCACCCATCAATAAAAATTTGCATGTATTAGCATAACTTAAATTAAACCCATGAAGCACTTTAATGTAAGTCATTTCACTCTCATTTCTCTGAAATCTTATACGTGATAGAATATTTAGGCTGACAGATTTTTAAAAAATGAAAACAGAAAATAGAAGAGGTCCATTTCACCTTCACATGGTGTCTTTCTCATGCAGAGTTCAGACTTCCACATTTGTATCCCTTTAAAGGATTTGATATGCAGGAAAAGAAGAAAGGATGACGGTAAACATTTCATTTTAAAGACACCTGCAGGCCATCATCTTCCACATTGAACAGAGGCTTAAAACTTACCTTTTACTGATGTGTTTGGTGGAGGGCCTTCCATTCGCAAGTTCCACGGAGGGTCTCCCTGGTTAGCAAAGTCCCTCATTTTCAGATAGCTAATGGTAAGTCGAATGATAGATGCCTTGTCAAGCTGGCTTGTGATAGCTGCAGGAAGAGGCAACAACTTGGCCAATTCATAGAACTCAAAATTTTCTTTGCCCCGACGGGAGCGAGCAGCATCTCGGGATTTCTCTTTTCTCAATGCTTGTAAACTGCAATCAAAGAGGTGAAAAAGTGTTGTTTAGAACATATGATTCTCTCATCAGATAGAAACTGTTTTATTTTTATTTCCTCTTTTCCCAGAAAAAAGCTACCAAAATCTTCTTCAAAATTCCAGGGGCCATGGTAAAATGAGTTACAGACAATGTCCACTAAAACCACAAATTCTACCTGTGGACTTACATGCCGTGAACTCAAGTGCAACAAGTATTATGTAGTGTGCTTATTAGGATTTTTTCCCCTGATTTACCATGCATTAACATACATCATTCTTTCTAAGACATAAGACGCTTGATGTTTTCAGCTATAACCAGTTTATTAAAATATTGGGCTTATATCTACATATCTGTTCTCAAGCTAAATCTTAAGACCCTGCTGGGATCTTAAGCCACCAAAAGGACACATTTAAAATTTTTTATTTCAAGTATTACCTCAGGAAAAAACAGTAAATACAAACACAATTCACAGAATCAACAAATAAGACAATGGTGCTTCCAGCCCTCGGTAATGATCAAGACCTTCAGTCAGATAAAGAAAACATCCTATTAAAGATGAAGATTTCAATGTGACTTTATACGCCTGCTGGTAATTAGTTGATAAGAGTATACTTTCATACTTTTATCCATGGACATACACTAATGAATGGATAGAGTCTCTAGAATTCTAGGGGATAAAATACATTGCCCAGAAAAGTCAAACTTTAAGATAATATAAATTTAATGTTGAAAGATAAAACTCTGTGGGTTATTAAAATTTATAAACATTATAGACATATTACTTCACAGAAGAGGCAACAGGTGGAATCCAGCATTTTTCTTTAACTATTCATGTGCACTCCTGTTTGAAGTTTGCTCACACTGCTGAGGGCAGAATTGGGCACAACTGAAGTTGCCTGTGAGGATCTGACAGAAAAAGTCCACCTACTCTGAGTTGCTCTATTTTGTGTCTGACAAATTCAAAGTCAGACACTGATGATAGGTAATTGGGTAATATTTACAGTTTCCAGGTACTATTAAGATCATTTGTAAGTATCCATTTTACTGAACTCTGCAGGCATTTTAAATCTTTGAAACTAGCATTCTGGTTTACCATTATAATAACATGAAACAGAAACAAGGACGGAGATAAAGCCAGAGGAATAGATCAAAATGAGTTCAAAGTGTAGCTCCAGTCTCTTGGTATAACATGCACAGTAGCATTCTACATCTCATTATTTCATACCTAATATGTTCATGGTATAACCACTGTACTCACTGCAAACACTCAAAATATCTATGAAATTTAAGTAGTGCCATAATGTTCTCATCAAATATTTGCTATGTTAATAGCCCAACCAGTTTCATGTTTATTACTCTATATTAAAATATTCCACAATAGCTAACTAATGTATTTCTCAGAACTAGACAAGCTACCATGATCATTTTCAAAATCACAGCAGTGCCAGGTGACAAACCTTTGCCTCCTGATAACTCAGGTGATAACCTCAGGCAGAAATATCCCTAATTTACAAGGAAAAGATATATGATGCTACTTATTTCCCAATGTCTTATTTGGTTTCCATTCAATTCCATAAATGATCAATTTTGGCTTGTTGAAAATGATGTCAATAAAGTGAGAGAAGCCTTAAAATCTGACAACATATAACCAGGATCCAGGCTAACATCTTATGATAGAAGAATGATTCATATCCCTACCTTTCTATAATACAAGCAATCCATCTAACACCATTTAAGTCACCTGTGCCAAACGAACAGTCTTTTCACATGTTTTCTCTACCACTTGTAGAGTGCAGTGGTTCAAGTTCAGTGCTTTGCCCTCTTTTGTTCTTATAATCGACCACTACTCCAGAAAGTGGGCTGAACTTATCATTTTTTTTGGTCCAGTAAGTGACTGTGACAGAGCTCTAGAGCAGAGGTTACAAACTCAAGGGCATGCAGGGTGACGGCAGGGAATATCAGTGCATGGGGAGGACCAGCAAGGACTGTGGTAGCTGGAGGACAGTGGTCTAAGCAAAGGGACAGCACACACATGCATCTAACCACAGCCTTGGATGGAGGCACGACTGGTGTGGCCACATCTCTACTTTTTCTATTTCTAGAGAACAAAAACTGAATTTTTACATGGCATTTCCAATTTTGTATTTTAATGTTAGTTAGCTAATTAAAGTTTTAAAAATTATACCAGCCCATTAAAATATGTTGTTTAGTCAATAATGGAGCAGGAACCCATTTTATAATTGGGTAATAATTTGGGAGACCGCTTTTGAAGGTAGTTTTAATGGATGATATATGTAACTTTCCTTTATACATGTCACTCAAATGATCACAAATGTACTTGCTTGTTACCTACCATACTTTTCAGACTATAAGATGCACTTCCCCCCCCAAAATTTCGGAGGAATAATGGTTGTTAATGCTGCTATTGAGTTCTGTTTACATTCACATTGGTGAAATATTATGTTATTAAGTATTTTACCACATTTTTTGCTACAAACATTTTTTTTCTATTTTCCTCCTGTAAAACCTAGGTGCATCTTATGGTCAGAAAAATATGGTAATTAATATTACTAATATTCATGCTAGGAAGTTTTCTATTCAACTGAAGCAACTAGAGGATTAGACAATTATTATGAAATTGATAACCAGGCATAGGCTTATCAATAATTTAAGGGAAAACTAAATCAATGGGGAGGAAAGCCCAAGGTCATGGAACCTAATGGGCTCCAAAGCCTAGTAGAGGGGAGGCAGCCTCCTACACCAACAAGGGGAAAGGAAATACGTGGACACTGAAATCTTTGGGGGACTTGCCTAAACCGCACCCCCTGACACGTGAGTTTTGTAAAATAGCACAGGGTGCAACTTACTTTGTGTTCCTGCCCCACCTTCTTGCTGTTTTTCTCTTCTCCACACCTCCCCCCTTTCTTTTTTAATCTAATGCACACACTGCTACCTCACTGGAGTAATCTTCTTGGCTATAATCTCAATAACAAAGGGTTTCCATGACTCCCACATCACATCATTATGCAGACACCATAGTTCAGAAGACTTTCAGAATGATAGCACTGTATCTGTAATAAGTAGTAATTGGTTTTGAGGGCAACAGCAATAAAATACAGTCAGAGGATTATAGAGGTTATGGAGATGCCGACAGAATAGATGAATCTAAAGACCTTAAGACAATGACACAGATTGTGGAGCCATCTTTTGTCTGCTTTTGTGAAGTAGAGCCTAGTAATAAACAAATCTCAAATTGAATTAAAGACTACATTAAAACCTAAAATAAGCTTTGTATTCACACATTGTGTTGTAAACTGAAAACAAAAATATTTATGGACTGCTAAAGGATGGATTGTTTGTACATGAGTAAATGCATTGCTGATCTTTGCCATCTAAAATACGATTAAACTTCAGAGCCACAATAAGTTACTTGCTGGGCCCAAACCTCCCATTGCTCTAATGCTCTTCCACTTGGGCTCTGGGCAGCAGGAAGGAGAGACTCCCTTATTCCTCATCAAATGAAGGTTTCAACTGTTTTTGTTGAGGATATTATCTACTTCACCAATCACTACCACCAATTAAAAGCAAAAAAAAATCAATAGACATTTCGAAAGATAGGTACATGTGTGTGTGTGTGTGTGTGTGTATAGATAGATAGATAGATATAGTAAGAAAGTCCTATACAAAGTTGTATGTATAGGTATATATTGGGAGAAATAGAGTAAATGATTTTCAGATTCTCCTTGTTGGTCCTATCTCTCCAACCAAAAGGGTAATGATCTAGTATCTAGAATTTCCCCCTTATAAATAGGATAAAGTTAAATCCTCCCTTTTGTCACTGATGTTGTCAGAATTATCCTAACCATGTATCCCTGGTTTAAATAATATTTTTATCTATGTTCTCAACACTCTTAAAGATATTTTATGTTTCTAAAGTTATAGCTTAAGCATAGATAATAGAAATTCAAAAATTACTGGTAATGATGATATATGATGAATGTAAAGTGATTTTCTTTTTTTTATAAATATTTTTAGACATGATGGAGCTATAGGTAGAGAGGCTTTGCCTCTTCCCTCGTAAAACCATAAGAAGGATAACAACCAACTTAAAATTAAAAAAAAACAACCATAACTATAGAAAATCGAATTGCATGGAGGTTCAACAACCAAGGATTTAAAGAAGAAGCATTCATCCAGACAAGTAGGAGACCTGAGACAGGCAGCCAGGGCACAGAGGGTGTGGTGTGGTGTGGTGAGGCAGCAATGAGGCAGTGGTGGCAGGGGCAAGTGGAACAGCCAGTCCCCACATTCAACTTTGGTGGATAAAAAACATGAGGGACAAGGGAGTGCGCTATCCCAGCCACAGGCCACACTGCACAGCCCCAGGTTCTAGTGACAGGTAAATAAAGCCTTATAACCTCTGGCTATGAACACCAGTTGGGATTGAGGTGGCAGAAGAAACTGCAGTCACTGAGGAGAGTCCAGTTAAAGGGCCCATTGGGTCCTAGAATGTGTGCAAACACACTCACTCAGGGAATCAGCACCACAGCAGGAACTAGAAGGACACCAGCCACTTGCAGGAAGTGGAGGAAGTGACTAGTAATAGGGCAAGAGCCAAGCAAGCAGCATCGTTACCTCTCTTACTCTTCCCTCACATACAGCACCACAAAGCAACAAAGCAGGTTGCCCCACCCTGGCAAATACCTAAGGCACCATGCCTTACAATGTAACAAGTACACTGACACAGGAAGTCAAAGCAGGTCTACTGAAGACACAGAAAAACAGGGAGGCTGTCGATTTGGGGAGACAAAGAAGATGGCCCAAATGAAAGAACAGATCAAAACTCCAGAAAAAGAACTAAGTGACACAGAGATAGCTAACCTATCAGATGTCGAGTTCAAAACACTGGTGATCAGGGTGCTCACAGAAATTACTGAGTATGGCCACAAAATAAAGGAAGAAGTGAAGGCTATACACAGTGAAATAAAGAAATGTAT